TACACACAAAGCATGAAAATCAGCTCTGATTTTGTTTTGTTTTGTTTTGTTTTTGAGACAGAATCTCGCTTTGTTGCCCAGGCTGGAGTGCAGTGGCATGATCTTGACTCACTGCAACCTCCACCTCCCGGGTTCAAGTGATTCTTCTGCCTCGGCCTCCCAAGTAGCTAGGATTACAGGCGCCCGCCACCATGCCCAGCTAATTTTTGTATTTTTAGTAGAGATGGGTTTTTGCCATGTTGGCCAGCCTGGTCTAGAACTCCTGACCTCAAGTGATCCACCTGCCTCGGCCTCCCAAAATGCTGGGATAACAGGTGTGAGCCACTACGCCCCGCCCAGCTCTGATGTATTGATATGGGGCTGACATGAAATCTGACAGCAGGGCTGAGGGCCCCTCCTGTGGACTCCAACTCTCTGACATGGTTGTTTTTTCTTCTTATGTGCACATGGGATGTGATGTTGCTTGGAGACTGTTGAGTGTGAGTGCATACACATGCATGTGCATATAAGAGTAACGTGTGTGCTCCTCTCATTTAAGCACTCATTTGGGTTCTGGGCAACACTCCGTGAGGGCAGAGCTTAGGTCCCCAGGCCATGCTTTGCTCCCTTGAGGTTACAATGCTTCTACTCACCCTATAAGGCCTGGACAGTAAATTCCCTCAGGACACGCATAGTCACTGCCTAGGGCCCTGAAACAGGGACTGGAAGCTTAGGCCTTCCCTTGGCACCCTGTGAGGACATCCCCCTCCCTCCGCAGAAAGGCAGCCCCCAGTACCAGCTGCTGACAGTGCCTGAGCACTCACCACGCGGCACCCTCGTGGGCAATGTGACGGGCGCAGTGGATGCAGATGAGGGCCTCAACGCGATCGTGTACTACTTCATCGCAGGTGGGGCCGGACAGAGCTAGTGCCCTGATTATCCTGGGGCTAGAGATGACCCACATATGCCCTGCCCCTGGCCCTACCCCCTCACTCTGTGCCATGGTCCCACCCTCAGTCGGCAACGAAGAGAAGAACTTCCATCTGCAGCCCGACGGGCGTCTGCTGGTGCTGCGGGACCTGGACCGGGAGCGAGAAGCCATCTTCTCCTTCATAGTCAAGGCCTCCAGCAATCGCAGCTGGACACCTCCCCGTGGACCCTCCCCAACCCTCGACCTGGTTGCTGACCTCACACTGCAGGAGGTGCGCGTTGTGCTAGAGGACATCAACGACCAGCCGCCACGCTTCACCAAGGCTGAGTACACTGCAGGTGCAGGGACTGGAGCCTGGGCATGAGGTGTGGGGTGGCCCCTGCTCTGCAACTTACACCACCTGCCTGTTCCTGCAGGGGTGGCCACCGACGCCAAGGTGGGCTCAGAGTTGATCCAGGTTCTGGCCCTGGATGCAGACATTGGCAACAACAGCCTTGTCTTCTACAGCATTCTGGCCATCCACTACTTCCGGGCCCTTGCCAACGACTCTGAAGATGTGGGCCAGGTCTTCACCATGGGTAGGGGCCTGGCAGCACATGAGTGGCCTCTAGCCACGACCTCTCAGTCACTGCATGGAATGTCATCTGGGGGGAGATGGGGTCTGGGGGAGCACCACAGGATATGGGTGACCCCCCAGCCCGCCACGCCAATCCTGTTCATCCATCTATTCAGCAGTCCTTTCTCCAGTGTATCCACCTATCCACCTCTTCATCTACCCACCAGCCCTTTCTTTTCATTCTCTCTTCTTTTCAACTCATGTGTCCATTACTTATCCATCCATGTATCCATACTTCTGTCTGTCCATCTATCCTTCCATCCATCTGTCCATCCCTCCTTTTATCCTTCCATCCATCTGTCCGTCTGTCCTTCCATCCATCTTTTCTTCCTTCCATCTGTCAATCCATCCTGCTTTCATTCATCTCTCCATCTACCCATCTTCCCATTCTCCTTCCCATAATATTTGCCTGTTTTTCCAGTTGTGCACCTCACCCTCCCCTATGTCAGGCATTGTGTTAGGACTGGGGCTCCAGGATTCAAAGCACACACTTACACCTATGGATGTGCATGTTTGTTTGTTTGTTTGTTTGTATATTGACCTGTGTAGATGGCTGAGACTCTCTGGGTCAGGCTCTAGGAGATGCCCCTCTGGGTGTCCCATTACCTTACTCCCAGTCCCAACCCCTTCCCCTTTCTTCTCCATCTAAAGACTCCTCCTCTGTATGCCTCATCTGTGGCCTGGCATTCAAGGCTCACTAGATCTTCCTCCTAATCCCTCTTTCTGTTCTACAGTCACCTGCTATCCTTAAAGGCCCTGTGCCCAGCCTAGCTAAGTTGCTTAGCATCCCCTCAGCCTGCTCTCTTCCATCCTCCCCTGGCCTTTGACCCCTCTGCCTTCGTTGCCTGGAATGCCATTTTGGCCCCTTTGCCTTCAGATGTCCATCCCCCACCCTTCAAGGTCTAGTTAATGTGCCACCTCATCCAGTTACACAAGCAGACACCATCCCTTTGTCCTCTGAGCTCTCACTGCTCTTATTTTATAAATCAAGGCACAGAGAGGCTCAGTAGTTTGCTTGAGGTCACACAGCTAGAAAGTGACACATTTTGAGCCCAATCTCTTGTCTTTTAAGAGAAGACTATGCTGTACCACCTGATGATCTCTCTTCTATGGGTTTTGTTGTTGTTTGCTTTTTTCTTTTTTTTTTTCCGGCGATAGAGTCTCACTCTGTTTGTTGCCCAGGCTGGAGTACAGTGGCACAATCTCAGCTCACTGCAGCCTCTGCCTCCTGGGTTCAAGTGATTCTCCTGCCTCAGCCTAACAAGTAGCTGGGATTACGTGCACACACCACCATGCCTGGCTAGATTTTGTATTTTTAGTAGAGATGGGGTTTCATCATGTTGGCCAAGCTGGTCTCAAACTCCTGGCCTCAAGTGATCCGCCCGCCTCAGCCTCCCACAGGCGTGAGCCACCACACCCAGGCTTGTTTGTGGAATTCTGAGGTACATGTGTTCGAAAGAGAGAGGAGAGACAGACAGACACTAAGGGGGCTCAGAAATGGTCCTTTGCACTCTAGGATGGGACAACAGAGTCACAAACTTGTCATCTGCCTTCCCCCACGGTGATAACCTGCTGAGACCTGAGCCACTGCCACTTCAGATGGGCATCATTCCCACTTGCCTGTCACCTTTGCTCCCGGCTGCACCCTGTGGGCATTTGTGCTGCCTCCCCTAGATGTGCCCACCTACCCCAGGGCTCATGCCCCTTCCTGGGGATTCAGGGGCACTGAGTCTCTGAGCTGTGCCCCACCTTCGGGCTTCCTGCAGGGAGCGTGGACGGCATTCTGCGCACCTTCGACCTCTTCATGGCCTATAGCCCCGGCTACTTTGTGGTGGACATTGTGGCCCGAGACCTGGCAGGCCACAACGACACGGCCATCATCGGCATCTACATCCTGAGGGACGACCAGCGCGTCAAGATCGTCATTAACGAGATCCCCGACCGTGTGCGCAGCTTCGAGGAGGAGTTCATTCACCTGCTCTCCAACATCACTGGTGCCATTGTCAATACTGACGATGTACAGGTGCCTCATGGACCCACCTGGGGCCGGGGCAGTGGAGGGAGATGGGGAGGCCAGCCACAAGGAGAGACAGGGCATTGTGCAAAGGCCAGGGTGTGAAAGGCAGTATAGGCCCCACTTACTCATTTCCTAGCAGTGCGGCTTTGATAAAGTTCTCCCAGGTCTCTGGGCCTCAGTTTCCTCCTCCATAAAATGGGGTCAATAATAAATAGTACCTGGCCAAGTGTGGGTGAAGTGATTGGCCCATGCCTGGCCCTCAGCAAACATTCAGAGGGCTCTATTCACAGGGAAGGGCAGAAGGGGCTCCTAGAAGAGGCCTGCCCATCCCTGTGGCCCCCTGCTATGGTGGCCACACCCTACAATACCCCTTCCCATCCAGTTCCATGTGGACAAGAAGGGCCGGGTGAACTTTGCGCAGACAGAGCTGCTCATCCACGTGGTGAACCGTGATACCAACCGTATCCTGGATGTGGACCGGTGAGTGGGGGCCTGTGTTTGGACTGTCAGCCTGTCTGTCAGCATGCCTCCCTGCCCTGGAGTAGGGGAGAGGACTCACCAAAGGAGACACAGACCACACCATCAGGCCCACTGTGTGGGGCCACCTCCCAGAGGGGGCAGGGCTAGGAGACAGAGCAGAGTTTGGGAGTATGAGCAACTCTGTCCCTCGGAGCCTCCCTCTCCCCATCTGTAACATGGGAGTATTCAGGCCGTGCGCAGTGGCTTACACCTGTAACCCCAGCCCTTTGGGAGGCCAAGCCAGGTGGATCACCTGAGGTCAGGAGCTCAAGACCAGCCTGACCAACATGGGGAAACCCCATCTCTACTAAAAATACAAGTATTAGCCAGAGTGGTGGCGCACACCTGTAATCCCAGCTACTCAGGAGGCTGAGGCAGGAAAATCCCTTGAACCTGGGAGGCGGAGTTTGCAGTGAGCCGAGATCATGCCACTGCACTCCAGCCTGGGCAACAGAGCAAGACTCCAATCTCAAAATAAATAAATAAATAAATAAATAAATAAATAAATAAATAAATAAATAAATATGGGAGTATTCATCCACTGTGAAGATGGAACAGGATCCTCCATGAAGGTTCGAGGAACCTTGTAAAACACAAAGCTGTTGCGGCCGGTAGTCCTCAATCTTGCAAGGCTTGGCGTTGATGAACTTTGGGGGCTTGAGGCAGGAGCAGAGCAGACTGTCATGAGGGGAATGGCTGAGGAGGAGAGCTGAGACCCCTGCCCCTCACCCAGGGTGATCCAGATGATCGATGAGAACAAGGAGCAGCTGCGGAATCTTTTCCGGAACTACAACGTCCTGGACGTGCAGCCTGCCATCTCTGTCCGGCTGCCGGATGACATGTCTGCCCTGCAGGTACCCAGCGACCCCGCCCCACAGCCCTAGCCGCCCTCCCCACTGCCCAGGCTCACCCTGGTCCTGCTCCCGCAGATGGCGATCATTGTCCTGGCCATCCTCCTGTTCCTGGCTGCCATGCTCTTCGTCCTCATGAACTGGTACTACAGGACCGTGTGAGTGTCCCCCACCCCTGCCCTCAGGGGGCCAGCCACCTGTTCCCGGATGGCCATGAGGCAGGCAGGGCCTGAGACGTCAGCTTGGCCCCAGCCCGCCTCACCAGCCCCTCTCTGCTTCTCTCCAGACACAAGAGGAAACTCAAGGCCATTGTGGCTGGCTCAGCTGGTAAGTGAGGGCTGTGGTGGGGGCACAGGTGAGAAGGCAGCAGGCTGGGGGCCTGGAGTGTCCACCAGGGCCTCACAAGGCTGGCTCAGGCCCTTCACTGGGCCCAGGACCACGCCCCACACCCCACCCTCCCTCACCCCGCAACACCACCCCTAACCCTGGCTATGCCCCTCCCCTCCATGCCCCAACCCTTCTCCCTGCAGGGAATCGCGGCTTCATCGATATCATGGACATGCCTAACACCAACAAGTACTCCTTTGATGGGTGAGTGGGGTAGTGGCCCTGCCCAGTCCCCTGCGGGGAGTCCTGCTAGGACCCAGCTGGGGAGAGCTGCAGTCTCCCAGCACTGGGGCTACTGAAACCCAGGCTGTGGGCGCCCCCTGGTGGGTGGGCCACCCTCCCTCCATCCTCAGAAACCATGTGGCTGAGAGGGGCTCTCTACCCCAGTGGGCCTCAAGTTCCAGGGGGTGCAGACTTTGGGCAGTGGGTGCAGGGTGAAGCCTCTGCACCAAAGGCAATCCAGACTGACATGCAGTCCTGGTTCTAGCAGGATCCCAGGGTGGGAGCATGCACCACAGGTGCCAGGGCCTCACACCCCCAAGTCAGTGAAAGGCACTACATGGCCAGGGAAATGGGCAGGATGTGGGGCGAGGCTGGAAGGGTACCTGTCTACTCGAGTCTTCCCTCCCTCCCCACTCTTTTCCCTCCCCAACTGCAGAGCCAACCCTGTGTGGCTGGATCCCTTCTGTCGGAACCTAGAACTGGCCACCCAGGCAGAGCATGAGGATGACCTACCGGAGAACCTGAGTGAGATCACCGACCTGTGGAACAGCCCCACGCGCACCCACGTGAGCCAGAGGCAGTCAGGCATCACAAGGGGCAGGAGTGGAGGGGCTGGGTCTTTGTGATCTCTGGCCAAGGAGCTGGGTTCTTTAAGCGGTAGCCCCCTCCCTTGTGCATGTGTGTGGGGTCTGCCTCTGCTCCAGCTAACGTCCTCTCTCCCCAGGGAACTTTTGGGCGTGAGCCAGCAGCCGTCAAGCCTGATGATGACCGATACCTGCGGGCTGCCATCCAGGAGTATGACAACATTGCCAAGCTGGGCCAGATCATTCGTGAGGGGCCTATCAAGGTGAGCCCTCCCCACAGGCTCCATACCCAGTTCCCTGGCTGAGGTTGGACCCCACTCCAGAGAACACAGGGCGGTGGAGACCTCCAGGCTCAGCTAGACCCACCCTCCACTGGGGCAAGAACACCAGGGCTGATGGGGGGCTGCTCCAGCCTGCAGTAAGGGCAGAGCTCGGGAATGAGTCCATGTGTGTCTGGACTGGCCACCGTTTCCAGGCTCTGCTGCTCATCCTCTGCCCTAGGATCACCAGGATCAGATTTCTGTGTACCCTTGACTCCCAGAGGGAGTGGGCGAAGGGCGGGGCAGGCAGGGAAGGGCCTTGGTGGGGGTTAACCCTTTCCCTCCCCCAGGGCTCGCTGCTGAAGGTGGTCCTGGAGGATTACCTGCGGCTCAAAAAGCTCTTTGCACAGCGGATGGTGCAAAAAGCCTCCTCCTGCCACTCCTCCATCTCTGAGGTAGCCAGCTGGGTGGCCGGGAGCTGTGTGCTGTGCCCCAGCCTGGGGATGCTCTCTCTTGCTGTCCTGCTGTCCTTCTCTATGTCCCTGGAGCTCTGCAGCCCGGACCAAAGACAGGAAAGGGTGGGGGCCAGGAAGTCAGACAGCAGGCTCTGCTTTCTGGGCTCTTGGGGGCTTTCACAGGAATGGGGTAGGCTCTAAGGCAGTCTTTCTCAGATTAGAGAAAGACCTCAAGAACATACCTTTGGGGGTGATGTCACTTTAAGAAACTCCGCAAGGCACGATGGCTCATGCCTATAATCCCAGCACTTTGGGAGGCCGAGGTGGGCGGATCATGAGGTCAGGAGTTCGAGACCAGCGTGGCCAACATGGCGAAACCCCATCTCTACTAAAAATACAAAAAATTAGCCAGGCGTGGTGGTGGACGCCTGTAATCCCAGCTACTCAGGAGGTGGAGGCAGGAGAATTGCTGGAACCCAGGATGCCGAGGTTGCAGTGAACCAAGACCACGCCACTGCACTCCACTGGGTGACAGAGTGAGACTCTGTCTCAAAAAAAAAGGAAAGAAAAGAAACTGGCCATCGGGGTCAAATAGGCCTACATATGTTTGCCTGTAGTGATTATGTCAACACTTACAAAAGTCAGGCTTTACCTAAAAATGAATTTCCAGCTGGGCCCACATTCTCAACAGGAATAAGCTAGTCGAATAGCCTCATGCAGGACAAGAGTGACAGTTTCAAGTCTCTACCCCACCTATTTATCCTCTGCAGCTTGTCCTGTTGACATTTTCTGCCTGGACACAATTAGAGGTGATCTGCTTGAGGCCAATTTGGCAACAAACCCAGACACCACAGTTGCATCCCAGGATTTTTATAGAGCACCAAAGTTAATATATAAAATTAAAGATTCTCGGCCGGGCACGGTGGCTCACGCCTGTAATCCCAGCACCTTAGGAGGCCAAGGCGGGCAGATTACGAGGTCAGGAGATCGAGACCATTCTGGCTAACACAGTGAAACCTCATCTCTACTAAAGAATACAAAAAATTAGCCAGGCGTAGTGGCGAGCGCCTATAGTCCCAGCTACTCGGGAGGCTGAGGCAGGAGAATCATGTGAACCCAGGAGGCGGAGGTTGCAGTGAGCCGAGATTGCACCACTGCACTCCAGCCTTGGCGACAGAGCAAGACTCTGTCTCAAAAAAAAAAAAAAAATTAAAGATTCTCATTCAGGTGTGGTGGCACACGCCCGTAGTCCAGCTACTCAAGAAACTGAAATGGGAGGATCACTTGAGCCCATGAGTTCGAGGCTGCAGTGAGCTTTATGTTGCTGCATTAGCATGGGCAACAGAGAGAAACACTGTCTCTAAATAAATAAAGACCAGGTGCGGTGGCTCACACCTGAGATCCCAGCACTTTGGGAGGCCGAGGCAGGTGGATCATCTGAGATCAGGAGTTCCAGACCAGCCTGGCCAACATGGCGTGCCTGTAATCCCACCTACTCGGGAGGCCGAGGCAGGAGAATTACTTCAAGTCAGCAGGTGGAGGTTAGAGTGAGCCGAAATCACACCACTGCACTCCAGCCTAGGTGGCAGAGCGAGACTCCGTCTCCACACACACACACACACACACATACACACAGATTTTCACAAGAAGCCGATCCTCCTGAGAACCACTCTGCAGCACCTTAAGCATTCATTGTTGCCCTTCGCACGCAGTTTGAGAAAGAGTCTGACAGGTCTGCTGAGGTAGGAGCCCAGGGTTCAGCCACATAGTCAGTAGGTCTCTGGGGCCATCCACCTGCTCACCCTTTTGGCATGGCCCTGAGCATATGGGGGTCCCGGCCTCTTGCAGCTGATCCAGACTGAGCTGGACGAGGAGCCACGGGATCACAGCCCAGGGCAGGGTAGCCTGCGCTTCCGCCACAAGCCACCAGTGGAGCTCAAGGGGCCCGATGGGATCCACGTGGTGCACGGCAGCACGGGCACGCTGCTGGCCACCGACCTCAACAGCCTGCCCGAGGATGACCAGAAGGGCCTGGGTCACTCGCTGGAGACGCTGACCGCTGCTGAGGCCACTGCCTTCGAGCGCAACGCCCGCACAGAATCCGCCAAATCCACACCCCTGCACAAACTTCGCGATGTGATCATGGAGAGCCCCCTGGAGATCACAGAGCTGTGACTAGACAGGGAAGCCTCGTGGGTGTAAGCAGCACCTGTCCACTGCCCTCTCCCAGGGAGCAACGGCAGGGACAGGGCCGGTCGGGGAGCTCCTCCCAAGGCCGGGCCTGGGGGACAACCTTGGCTTGGCCCTGGCAGCCTGCATCAGCTGCTCAGATCCCACTTTTGCCAGATGCTTATTCAGCATCTGACCTCTACCTTCATAAGATCTGTTATTTTTATAAGAAAACCAAACAAAAATGCTAAGCGTCTAAGGACAAGGTAAGGAGGGTCACTGGGGCCCAGAAGTCTGGGGACCAGCTCGGCTCAAGCTGAGCTGAAAGAGGCCGAACAGGCCCTCCTCCCTCCGGGCTCCACCCTGCAAGCACTATCCCCTCCGGCTGAGCAGGCGCAAGGGAGGCCCGGCGTGGGCATCCCCTGCTGGCCGGACACCCGACTCCAGTCCAAGTCCCGCTACATTTCCACCACATTCCTGCTGGATGTCCAGGTGGAGGTGGCATCCCCACATGGACAAGGTCAATGTCAATGAACAAGCATTCTCTCCATTTCACTGGCTTCCCAAATGTGCCCAGCTTATAAAGAGAAGTGACTGATGTTCCCTTGGGTTTTGAATGTGGAGTGTTCGTGTGTGTTCCTTTTTTAAATTAAGTTATTCCCTCAATAGTTTCCCCTTGGTTTTGTTTAACTGGCACTCACTACAAGTTTCTGGAATGGTTTGTTTAAAAAGCAAGGCAACTCTCAAGGAACTGGCACCGTGCTCTGACTCTGGCCTCTAGGGAGCAGGGACAGGGGCGGATGAAGGGCAGAGCCGTCCTTCAGGTGCGCCCGACCTACTGCTCGCCCTGAGTCTTGGGGAGGACCAGGTGGGATTTTTCCTTTATCCACTTTGCTTTCATTCTCTGGCCAAGAGGGGTCATGGGAGTGCTGGGCCCCAAAGGTGTCATGGGCTCAGAGCTCATGAGAGAGGAACACACTCTTCCAGCTGAAGAGTCACAGAAACTCAGGCCCAGATTTGGCTAACAGAATTTTATTGTTAAATCACAGAAACTTTAGTGCAAAACAAAACTCACAAAGTCCATTTAATAGCAACTGCGTATCCTGCTGGCTTTGCTTGCTGTCTCCTGGCAACCAGAAGTAGACAGAAGCGTGGGTGCCCAAGTGGGCTGCAGACAGCATCCAACCCACACCCCAGCGTCCAACCCACACCCAGCAGACCCCTCAGCATGCCGCCCTCTAACAGGAGCCACAGGCCTAGGAACTCGCCATCCACATTTATTTGAAAAGAAAGGTCAAAAGGAGCCTCTATGAGACGGGGGAGGGGTGCAGGCTGCAGCAGCACCTCAGCAGCCAGGGACACGTAGGCAACACGAGCAGGCACAGCGCGGCCACCACTGTCCACACGCTCACACAAGCCAGGCCCGTGGGGCCTCTGGAGAGCTAGCAGGTTCTATTCAGGCAGATGGCCCCCTTCCCACCCAAACCCACAGAACCCCAAACAAGGCATCACCAGGAAAGACACGGGAAAGCCAAATCACAGTTGAACCAGGGACAGAGAAACCGTGGCCCCACTGGGGTCCCAAGCCACCAGCCGCTGCTTCCAAAATCCCTGTGCTATTACAGCGGGAATTAAATCATTTAAAAAGCCTGATTATTCCGGGCTTCTAATCTTTCATATAAAACTGCCTTTGTTTTGCTGCTTTGTACAGCTGAGAGGCCCAGGAAAGGGGAGAGGGTCCCTGACCAGGGCAGGAGGCCACCTCAGAAGCCCAGGCCCACCAGTGCCCAAGCACATGTCAGGGCTCAGAACAAGGCCCCAGCCAAGAGGGTTGATGGCCTCCAGTCAAGAAGCTGTGGCTCATGCCAGCAGAGCTCTCTCCCCCTCCAGCAGGTGCCATGCGAGGGCGGGCTAAAAGACCTCCAGTGCATCAACATCCATCTAGCAGAGAGAAAAGGGCCACTGAAGCAGCTATGTCTGCCAGGGGCTAGGGGCTCCCTTGCAGACAGCAATGCTACAACAAAGGACACAGAAATGGGGGAGGTGAGGGAGCCCTATTTTTATAACAAAGTCAAGCAGATCTGTGCGTTCATTCTCCCAGACACACAAGTAGAAAAAAACTAATGCTGCGGTTTCTCCAAGCTGGAATATTCCTCCTCCTAGTTCCACACGTGGCGTTTGCAATGCTCGACAGCCTGGTAGGAGAGAGGAAGCTGAGTTTAGTCTTCAGATGACAAACTCCATTCCCGGCCCATCGGTGTATCAGATATCACCCCCAAATGGGACCTGTTCTCTTGTCCTAGGTCAGTTAGACGGCACCAGATGCTGAAGACCCAGGACAGGATCTCACTTAAAAGCAGGGAACACATGGCCATCAGAGTGTTGGGAACTTCTAAGACACGAGTCCAGAGCAGCAGGCGCCTGCAGTAGTCTGCAGATGAGTACCCATGCAGGCAGGGCTCAGCGCCCTTCGTCTGCCTACACCCGGCACCCAGCGTCCTGCTAGCAGCCTACAAGCTAATTCCCAGGCAGAACCTCCTCGCCTCAGTTAGGCTACACACCAGCTCGGGCCTTGAGAAGCGGGCCCACATTTCCCCAGGACAGCAGCAGAACCAGCCGTGGGGTGGGGCTGGTGGTGGAGATGGGCTGGAGCCTAGCTGGAGGAAAGAGCTGGACATGGCCAGAATGGGGGCCCCCTGCCCCTCCCTGCAGTGGTCCAAGATGACAACCGCCACTGACATGGTCACAAGGAAGTCCGGTGAGGAAGGAAAAGTTGCACAAAGCAACATTAAGTAACAGGCCGGACCAAACATCCCCACCCAGGGAAGCAGCATAAGTCATCCAACTGGTGGCTGCCAGGCCAGGCCAGGGCCACGGTGCCCTAGGGCTGCTGGGTAGGGGCCAGCTCTCAGGGCTTTGAGTGAAGAGACTCAGGCCTGGCTTCAGCAAGGGCAAACATGTTCCGGGGAACAGGACCTGGGCAAAGGTCTGGGCAATGAATCCCACAGACTTTGTGCAATCCCTGGAGTGACCTTGTACAAGTCTGACACTGTCACAAGGGAAATTAAGACAAGAGCAACAAAGCAGAAGCAAAAAATTCCACCCCCCCCCCCCCACCAAAAAAAAAATTCCACCCCACCCTTCACTACAAGAGTAGAGTTCACCCTGTCTTTTCTGGGGGACCATGAGTAAGCCTAACCACCTCTGAGCCTCCGTTTTCTGAGAACATAAAAGCAGGGTGGAGAGCTGATCACTGGGTTCCTGTTAAAGCAGGATTCTCCCGCAGGCTACCCCAGGGCAAGACAGGCTGGTGGCGCTCGCTGCTGGGCTACTCACATTGCACTGGGCTGCCGTCTCTGTGTTCTGGCACCAGTAGCTTGGGCCCCATACACACTTCTCAGTTCCCAGCAAGGGCTTATGGGCTGACGGGCAGGCTCCAATTTTCTATACGGTGAGAAAAGGAAAAAAGAAAGGGGGAGAATGAGAGCTGCCCAATGTATCCGTTTCAAAACTAAGAAAACAGTTTCCAGAACGAGCTAGAATCAGAGCTCCACCACGCTCTTTCAGAACATCAGGGTTGCTGAGGAAAGCGATGGGGCTTGGGGGACTGGCTCCCTACCTTCTTGGCTCTCCCAACAGCGGAACCCAGAGACTCCACCCCACGGCCAAGTCTCGGAGCAACCCTCCCGGGTCTCTGCAGCCCCCCAGGTTACAGCTGCCCGAGAGGACCCACACCACCCAGTGAGGCTCACCAAGCACACGAACGAAGGATCCATCACCTCCACCAGGATCTCGATCAGCACGGGCTCGTACTCTGCCACAAACTGATCACACTGTAAAGGAAAGCGGGGACACAGGTCCAGCTCTGGGGGTGTCCGAGCACAGTGGGGCACAAAAGGCCAGGCAGCCCTGGATACACTCTTCCCTGAGAGCCCCTGGCATTCCCAGCCCACTGGGTCCTGGGGCCTCCCTTCCCAGACACCCTATCTGGCCTCTCTACTTCAGGTTGCTTCCCCCAGTGGCTCATCTTAAGCTAACAAATCACCTCCAAGTAAAACTTCATTGGACTCCATGCCCGGAGGCAGAAACAGCTGGTTTTCCATCAAAATGTACCCCAGCCTTGGCATACTTCATCAGGTTCCGTCATGCCGGCCTACCGCAGCCCAGCCCGAGGCATACCTGCTTCTGGTAAGGGTCAGGCAGGAAGCTGCAGCCTTTCTCAAGAGCAGCCAGGATCTCCTGCTTGGTGCTGTTTTTCTCCAGGTTACGATCCAAATAACCCACCAGCTTCTTGCACACTTCGCAGAAGCCACCGTCCTTCGGCTGAGTCACATGAACTACACAAGAGGGCAGCGGACTCAATGCTGGCAGGGCCCTCCCAGACCCAAGAGGGGCACCATCCTCTCCCGCCCCACACCCAGTGCTCACCAGTCAGCGCAGGCAGCCGCGTGCCAGAGCAGAGGCGCAGCATGCTGCACACCAGCTCAGGGCTGACCTCCTGCAGCAGGATGGACAGGATTGAGCTGCCGTACGTGTCCACCACCTCCTGGCACTCTTCCGACAGGGACTTCGGCAGCTTCGAGCATATTTTGTCAAAAGTGTCGAGTATTTCTTTCTGAAACACAGGAGAGGATCGTGTGAGAAGACGGGAGGCTGGGCAAGGGTTGGGGAGATTCTGAAAATACTAACATGACCAGGAAACGAGTCAATGGTGGGTGCCATTTCCACCCCCAGAAAACTACCAAACCACAAAGCAGGGCAACGGTGTCTACTTCCCCTGAACCCTGCCAGCCTAGAGGTCCCACTGGTGAGGACTGCCTTCCACGAGATGGGGACATGACTGTACACATGCCAAGCCTGGGCCAAGCCCTCTCTCCTATGGGACTTTCCCACTGGGACATTCAGGCTCAGGGGGCAGAAGAGGGCCCCTCTCTGCCAGGAGGACAGCATACCTCAGTCTTGTTGTTGTCAATCAGCTTGGTCACCTCCTTCACCAGGAATTCACACACCTCACAGTAAACATCAGACTTTGCTGGGACCTCGTGCTTCTGTGGGAAGAGTAGAAGGAGAGTACTTTAATGCTGGGACTCACAGCCCTTGGTCTTGCTCCCCTAAAGGAAAGGGGCTGCAGACACCAGGGTGGGTTAGCACATCAAGGGCCACTGCCTACTGAATTCCAAATGATGTGTGGCTTGTAACATCCAAGTTAATTCCCTATTTTTATATGGTGGGAGACCCACCTGCCTCCTTCCCCAATCTTCTATCAACACCACCTCCCCCTAACCCCACCAAAACAAAACCCAGGAATTCACGGTTCAGGAGCTAGAAAGTCCCTTGTCAACCCCAAAGAGCTGTCCTGATGATGTTTCAGTTACAAACATTTCATCACTCAGGGTTCATTTTGGGGAGGATGAAGGACCAAAAGCAAAGGGAGGGGCTCACTATCGGTCCACTATCTAGAAGGCAGCATGGTGAACACATTTCAGGTCTGCTCGTGTGTCTGCCATGTCTCATTAGCACTTGAGAATGCTCTTCTAGAACCCACCTTTAAAAAGGCAATACTGTCACAGAAGATGTTCTGTGGCAGTGGAAATGTTCTCTATCCCTGCTGCCCACTACAGGCTCCAGCTACCTGTGCACTGAGCACCTGCAATGTGTCTCATTTT